TGAGAATAAGCCAATAAGGGGTTCGTCACCTAGCATGCAAACTCTCACCAAAAGAGATAAAACGTTATCACAACGACTTATATGGATACCGTTAGTAATTTCTCTTATACTGATAACCTAATTAAACGGTTTAATAATAATCTTATTAAAAAAAAAAAAGAAAAAGTAAGAGACTTGCCATTAAAAAAAAATAGCAAGTTCATGAATGTTGGGTGCAAGTTCATTGTACCAAATTGATACACAAAGTCTCTTTTCAACGCAACCAAAAAGGAAAAAAACATAAAATAAGGCAAGTAGATAAAGAAAAGAAAGGGCAATAACGTAATTTCAAACCACCCCATTAAAAAACAGAATCCTCGTCCCGCCTCACAACTGTACAAGGTCATCACAGGACTAGAACAGCTGTGAGGGCAGTTTCGTAAATAACCACAAGAATAGGTCCACTTTGCCCCCCATTTAATTACAATAAATCCACTGAAGATCCAACTTTGCCATCAGAAATCCCCGTTTTTTCCCACCCGACGACTTGCCCCAGGACAGCGAAGAGAGACTCTAGAGAGAGAAAAACACGAAAATCAGGTACAGTAGAGAGAGAAAGAAGAGTGTGTGTGTGTACAGAGGAGCAGAGTGCGGGCATTAATGGCGGAAGGAACTAAAAAGGAGAAGAAGAGCGAAGAGAGCGTCAAGCTCTTCGTAGGTCAAGTGCCAAAGCACATGACCGAAGGTCATCTCCTCGCAATGTTCACGGAGTTCGCCTTAGTCGACGAGGTCAACATAATCAAGGATAAGAACACTCGCGCTTCTAGAGGTTTGCTTTCTTGTAACTCTTGAATCTCTCGCATTCTGTTTTTAAGACTTTTTTCTTCTTTTTTCTTTTTTCGTGATTTGGTTGATTTGGTTGGTTTTTGGGTGAGATTTGAAGTGTTTGAGTGAGTCTGTGGTGCGTTCAACCCTAATTTTGAGGTATTTTTTGTTGGGTGTTGGTGAAGGGTGTTGCTTTGTGATATGTCCGTCGAGGCAGGAGGCTGATAAGGCGGTCAATGCCTGTCATAATAAGAAGACGCTGCCTGGGGTCAGTTCAGTTTTTAATTTATGTTTGTTTTTGTCGTTCGTTTTGTTGCACATTGTGAGTTACTGTTGTATAAACTTACCTCAATAGTGTTAAAATTGGTGGTCGGGAACTTGGCATCCATAAGTAATTATTAATTGGATGTTGCTTGTTCCAATTGTTAACCCAGCACTGAGTCGTGAAACTTTTGATCTTTATTTCAGTGGTGAACATTTATAGGGAATTACTTGAGCATAATGAGTTATTTCCGCTGCATTTATGGATAATGTGGTTGTTATTGTTGTACCATGCACGAAAATTTTTGAAAATTTTTTTTTTTTTTTTTCCTGATTGGCCCGAAATTTGTGTAAATTGGCCGGTTATTAGCAGCTGAATCTTCCATGATGATAAAGTAGGTTCTCAAATATAGGGTAAAACTATTTGTGGGGCTGGTTATTGATAGACTCTGCGCAAGTTCATCATTACACCAGCATGATCTACAGTAGCTTATATGAATGAGGCGTGGTTATTGAGTATGTATGCATCACACAGCTCACCAATGGCTTGTTGGTTCGAGTGGAAGGAGCTTGGTTCTCTTTAAGCAAAGTTTCAAGTTTGAGTCTTGTGAATAGAGAAACAAACATGAGGAGAGCCTCCCCTTATGGGGTCCGACCTAGCTCGACTCTGGATTAATTGGAGCCCAATGTGCGTTCCGGATACTGGGGGCTTGGTATAAAAGAAAAAATGCATCACGAAGCTCTTAAGTATGCCTCTTTGGGCAGCATTGAAAATATATGGACCTTGTTGTAACAATTTGGTGTCCTAAGGGTTAGAGTGATGGCAAAAGGGTTTGCTTCGGCAAGAATCAAAAATTGAACAATTTCTCATTTCTGTAAGCGTAGGTCATTGCATTTCTCCTGACTTGTTTTGTGAATTAAAGAATAATTTGGAAATTTCCAAAGGCTGGGGGCTCTGTTTATAGGTGATTGCATATCATATAGATATTATTATTTGCTGGAAGCCTTTGCAACATACCCTTTTTTATTTGATTGATCACTGTGATATATTGGATGGAAACTGGGCATGGGCTTGATATAGAAGCCAGAGTGACTAAGAATGGTCCCTTAATTTTTTTTCAACTTATAATGAAACTGTCCAGAAACATTTATGCTCTAAGTACTTAGATTGCAATCATCCATCTCTGCTTTCATAGACTTGTGGCTTCTAGAACAAGTTATGGCTTACTGTGCAGATATGTCACTGATCCAGAATCATTCTGTTATTTTTCTTGAGCAGGCATCTAGTCCATTGCAAGTGAAGTATGCAGATGGCGAGTTAGAAAGATTAGGTACTACATAACTTGATTAAATTAATTATTTTTCACTTCTGCTTCCAGTGGGTTTTAGCAACAGTTGTTCTTACACATTATTTGCAAATACTCCTTGTATTTTTCTCTTTTCTTTTTTTTTTTGGATCAAATTTCTCCTTGTATTTTAGTTTTTATAAATATACTGCAATCATTTTTTACTGGTCTCATGCAATCCAGAGCACAAACTTTTTGTTGGTATGCTGCCAAAGAATGTCTCTGAATCTGAAGTTCATTCTCTATTCTCTCAATTCGGAACTATAAAGGACCTACAGATTTTAAGGGGTTCTCAGCAAACAAGCAAAGGTACATAATTGTTGGTTCTTTTTCCCCCATGCTTATTCTGTTTTAAATGCTGGCCTAGTGGTATGAAACAAGTCAACAGCTGAAATCTAAGTAAGTCAATATCAAAAATCAGATGGCTCTGTCTATACGTATATATTTTTTTCGCAGGCTGTGCTTTTTTGAAGTATGAGACTAAAGACCAAGCTCTCGCTGCCCTTGAGGCCATTAATGGAAAGCACAAAATGGAGGTTTGTTTTTATCTAGTTGGGTGCGATTGTTGAAATTTGCCTGTTTTCTTAAATTTAGTTCTAGCATCTTTCCTATTTATCATTGGTTTCCAGAATAGTTGTTGATATGTATATACAGTTTCACTTCCATGACGAATTCATCAATATATCCCCAGGCTCTATTGTGTCTGAGATAAAGAGCAATCAATATTTCTATTCTTCTTCTTCTTCTTGGTTTTTTAAATCTCATGATGTTAGCTTGTGAGGGCTTGAAACACTGAAGCTTCTAATATATGACTTCAAATAATTATACACTCAAAGGGAAAACTTTTGCATTTTGCTATGAATGTCTCATTATCCAAGCTGCATAAAGCATTATGTGTTACATCTGGAGTGTCTTGAGTGGCATGTGTAGACATTTCATGACTTAAGAAAATAAAGTTTCTTGTGATAGCATATGTTGATGGTTCAGTTAGTTTCTTTTGGACTCATCTGATAGGGAGTGGCCCTTCTTATCTTAGATGAATGGATCATCATTACTTATCAGATGTCTTCAATAAAAGCTTAGATAAGTCTTTCATCACTGGGTCTCTATATCAATTGAGGTCATAGTGGATGCTATTTTAAGCCTTTCTATTCTTTTTTCTTGTCATGTCAAATGGTTGCACTGAAATGAGTTTTGGTGTTTGCATATTCGTGAACAAACCCCTGGTGCTGTTTTCTGACCATTATCTTTCACTGTCAGGGGTCAGGTGTACCTTTGGTTGTCAAATGGGCAGACACAGAAAAAGAAAGACAAGCTCGCAGGGCACAGAAAGTGCAATCCCAAGCATCTAATATGCCTCACAGTGATTCACAACACCCTTCATTGTTTGGAGCCTTGCCAATGAGTTATGTTCCGTCATATAATGGATATGGATATCAAGTAAGTTTTTATTCTTCTATTGTCTGGAATTTGTTTGAATTTTCATGATGCATTGAAAAAATGTTTTGGAACTCATGGCTATTCCCTTTTCCAACCTATCTTAAAGAAGATTTCACTCTAGCATTATTTCTTGATTTTCTATAATAGGGTTTGGACTTTGATAATCATCTCATTTTCTTTGTAGGCTGCAGGGAGTTATGGACTTATGCAGTACCGCTTGCCGCCGTTGCAGAATCAGCCTGCATTTCATAATATCATTCCTCCAGTAAACCAAGGGAGTGTGCTGCGTGGAATTACACCTGACCTTGCTGCTAATATGGGCCCTAGAAATTATGCTATGCCTCCTGCAAATTATGTAGGCTCTGCTTATCCTGCCATACCAGGTCTTCAGTATCCAGTGGCATATGCTGGAGGGATGATGGGTCATCGGCCATTGGGTTCACCGGGTTCAGTGGCACCACCAAATGCAAACAGTAATTCTTCAACATCTCCAGGTGGTGGTTCAATTGCAGGGAGTCAGGTTGAAGGTTTGTCATCTATGCATTTGTTTTGGTGCTTAGTGTTTTCAAAACCAGATTCTTTGCCACGGTGTCCCGTCAGTTATTTTATTTTCTATCTGACCTAGGTCCACCCGGTGCAAATCTATTCATATATCACATACCTCAAGAATTTGGTGATCAAGAGTTGGCCAATGCCTTTCAAGCATTTGGCAGGGTCTTAAGTGCCAAGGTTTTTGTTGACAAAGTGACGGGTGCCAGCAAATGTTTTGGTAAGCTTATTCCTTTTACCTTTTTATGATTGACTGTATCCTTAACCAGTTCTTGTCTCAATAAGCCTCTATTTGCAGGTTTTGTAAGTTATGACTCGCCAGCTTCTGCTCAAGCTGCCATAAATATGATGAATGGATGCCAATTAGGTGGTAAGAAACTGAAGGTTCAGCTTAAGAGAGACAACAAACAGAATAAACCTTATTGATTAGGGGTTGAGTTAGTCTTTGAATGAAGCAGAAAATGCTTGTCACATGCATTCACAAGCAACCTGGACATAACAATTGAACATATCAGCAATTTGGGTGGATCAAGATAATCTCTTCTTACATATGTCATTCCATCCCGCTTGTAATTGCTTCATGGGATTGAAATTCTTCAAACTTGTAATTCATGGTGCACTCTGTGCCTACACAATTTGTATTTTATGTATAATTGAAGTTCATTTATTGATTCTTCCTCAAGTATATCTATTGGTGATATAATTTGGTTAAAACATCCATAAATGAGATGTTTCCTAATTATTTTATTTTCACAATTGTGTAATTTAATTTGTGTTCTATCCTCACCATTGACAATCATGACGGGGAATTGATTCAAGCCGTGTCAAAGGTGCTTTGTGAGTATCAAGAATTTCATCTGTCTGGCGTCATGTTAATACTTTCAACTTTCTCTGCATTCTGCTGCAGTACAATAACACATGTAGTCGGTATATTGAATTCCATGTTATTTGGAGTGATTGTACACATTTCTTCTGGAGTTGTGCGGTGATCAATTTCCTTTCAGGTATTCTACGGTTATCTGCATGTCCAGTCTAGGCATTTATATCTTTTTTTTTTTTCTTCATTATCAAATTAAATGTTAAATTGAGAAGCCCACGGTGGCCCAAGTGGCCACCACAATATTGTTCGAGGCTTCTCACCTAAGGGTGTGGGGTTCAATCCCCACTTCCCCACCCCTTTCCCTTCCCCCTTCCCCCTTCCCCAAATTACCTATGTTCAAAAAAATAATAATAATAATAAATGTTAAATTTGCCATGCAAATAAAAAATAAATAAACGTTATGTTAACTGCAGACAATAGATTTTGATTGAATTTATTACTTTTCTAATAGATGTATCCTTTTCCTGAATTTTAGTCTGCATGGGTGTGGAAGTTCTAAGATGTTTGAATTTGTAAGATTAACATCCATTGCGCTTATCTTTTCTTTCAGCTACTCAGTTCAGAATTTCAAGACAGATTCCCTGGCTGGATGGTTCCCTGGAATTGAACTGCAGAACGTCTCTGTTATATGGAGACCAGAGAGTTCGTCTCAGGTAACATTTGGCTTCCCAGATGACTATTGTTTTACATTAATAGGGATGAGATTTATTCTCTTTATGAGAAGTGCTTAGGATTCACAAGATATTTTTCAGTTTCCCTTGAAAATTCTTGTTTAGTTTGCAATAGACTTGCTTTCTAATGTCTCAGGAGTTTTCTAGTGTTCATTGAACCAATGTCAAACAATTTCTGTCATAATGTCCCTTCTATTCTTCTATGTTTTATGCTTTCATTTTTTGCTTGGTTATCTTATATCAGCTCTTATATGCACCATAGCTAGTCTTTCATGATACATTAAAAAAAATTTCATATGATGGCTAACAATATCTGCTAGTAGATCAAATTGACTATTGAGAAAGAAAAACTATTTCAGGGACAATAGACAGTCTTGGAAATGATTTGAATGATATAATTTATTATAGAATTGATTTTGGAACTCAATCCCCAACTCTCTTGATTGAACAATAATTTTGTTCTATAAATAATAGTGTGACCCAAGATAGAAAACATTATTGAATTTAGCTTTATGGTGCTTAGGGCTATAGGGGATGAGATAAAAGAGTGCACAAAGCACGCCTTCTATGTATGGAATTGATTGTATATTTTCTACTTTCCTTCATTGGCGTATCATCTATATCTAGTGTTCAAGTACAGGAAATGCAGCGAAGATACTGGATACTGTGGCTCTGGCGCCTGCATAAAGCCAATTGAATTTGCCATTTTATTTGCTGTAGTCCATCTTTAGATGCATCTCCCATTGGATTGTTCGATGTGTCATAACTACATGACCAAGATTCCCCATTCTCCAGTATTGCTTGTGCTCAAGTGCCTTGTTTGCTGCATTTGTGTTGCTTATATATGCTTTGTGCTTGTATTCAAATACATGATTATTTTTGTACAGCATCCATTTGAGTTACGGGAATGAAGGTTTTGGTGCTTTCAGCTTTACATGTCTTATGTACAATCTAGTTGATTTACATGAGTTTAACCATATTGTTTGTCAAAGGGGACTCAAAAATGGCACAATGTTGTAGCTCTCTAATAATTCCCTTATCTTGATCATAGCTGCTTTATGGTTCTTTTTATGTTTCGCCTCTTAACCCAATTCTTCCTTAATCTTCCTTCACAAACCAGTCCAGATTTTCAAATGAGGAATTCGGTGCTTAATGTATCCCATTATTTAACTTGCTGTATTCCCCTGTCTATTGGAGTCTATGATACTGCCTACTCAATAGCAGGCAGCCCACTAATGATCTGTTAGTCGGAGTAAAATGAGTTTGCAGACAACTTGTATTCTATGTACATAAAAGAGATGTTGTGCTTGATTTGATATTATGACTTCTCTTGCTTTCTTTTCATCTTATTCTGAAGCTATGATCTATCTGTTTATGATACCGTGTACCAGAGGGACCAAGTATTTTGATTTGGAG